AACAATTTATCAACCGATAACTTTTGTTCTAAAATTAAATATGATTTTAAGTGTTATTAAAAAAAATGTTAAATCGATTTTGATGTCAATGACCTAAAATATAAAAGTAACATAAAACAAACAAAAATTGTTAATGAAGTTTTTTTTTTATTACAATAAACGCTTCTCTATACTCCCATCAGATTAATGTCATCAAGGTTCATGGCATATTAGTTGATATCATCCGCTAATATTAGGGTTGTCAATTACACACAAATCTATTTAAACTCCATCGGAATTTTCTTGTACTAGCGTATTCAAGTTCTTCTACTTTATTCTATCATCAATTCATCGATAATTCTAAGAATCTTCGTTTATGATAATAGCAATTCATAAATCAAAAGCCGAAGAAGTTAGATAAGAAGTTTTACAGCGACTTTCGCGGCATTGAAAAGTTATTTACATATTTCCGTCGACTTTCACTTGTCGGCAGGCTTTATTTTCTTTGAAAATTTTCTTCAAATATTCCCATTAGCATGAATTAATTTCATTATTTTAATATTGAATAAACCAATTTAATTGTTTGTCCTAAACTATTACCGAGAGCACTAAAAGTGTTTGTGTTTTAGAAATATTTAACATTTTAAATGAAACTAGTTTACTATTTTAACTATGTAAAATAAAATAACAGATATGCTGACATCTGTTGTGAAAACAAAGGCGAGAAAATGTTGGTAAAAAAATTGACAGAGCGACATTTCGTTGCCATTTGTTGAGTGGCGAAATAAATTGGCCACATTTGTTAACTGAACGACGGTTACCTTTTTTGCTCTTCGTGTTCGAATATATTACGAAAAATGATAAGGAAAATGGGCAGTATTTAAATAAAAAATATGATTCTTCAAGAAACGGAACTTGTTTTGCTTTGTAAAACCAAAAATAGTTTGATAATCTTATGTATAAAGTAGTTTCTATAAATATCTTAAGCTTATAGGTTTTATGACGTGATTTTAATATTAAAAATAACTATATCTACACATCTTTAAATATTTTAATCGTATTTTAAAGATTTTAAAGAATTGCAACACTCGTTTAACACTATAATATAAAGAAATATGTCAAAAGCAACAGTTGTTAGTTCAAAAAGAAGTACACTTGAATGGAGGACTGGCCGTTGTCGTTTTTATCTTTCTACATTTTAAAAACAAACCAATGTATGATATCAATGATATGAGATGTATCAAATTTATATATAATATCTATATATCAGTATATAGTTCAATAAATTCAATTCCCCGTACGCAGCGCTCCCCCATCACTTGCATGACATCTTGACAGGTATTAATTGCCCGAATGGATTGTATGTGGTTACCACAATTGAATTACTAAATATTATCATTTGCTATTTCATGACAAATTATTAAATGAATTAATGAAATGAACAGAAAACAAACATCAGTCTTAGGATTTTAAAATTAAAGTAAAACGTACTTGCCCTCCTTTGGTCTAGGAGTTGTTAAGAGCCATATAGTTACCATATAGCAAAATATCAGATTATGTAAGTATTTAGAATCGAATATTAGTCGGTAACTTAAATTATGTTCGAACTAATTCGTGCAGATAGTACAAAATAATATTATAACCATGTCGTCGTATCCTATCCAATATTCTAACAATAACGGGGTGTAAGGTTACCGTACAATAAGAAAATTGCCGCAACAGAAATGTTAAATACATTTCCTTGTAACAATGGCCTACTTTTATGTTCTATCTTTAATGTAATCCGCCTTTTGAAGTGGAATAGAAAATATACCCGTACGAGCTCCAGTGAGCATTATAAGAGATTCTTTATGCTTTATTATCCAATAAGGTATACTATTCCAAGTACACATGTATATTTGATTACACAAATATGCTCTAAAATACATGAGGGAAAGATACAAAATAATCGAAGGAATAAATAATATTCTTCGATTTCGATTATAGTATCAAACTCATTTAAATAAATTGTATATTAATGTACAGTATGTCTTTGATACTTGTTGAATTCGTAGCTTTTTTGTAAGCAACAGATTACCGAAGTGATTGTGAAATAAAAATTAACATTAAAAAACAGTTTCAATACTAGTACGCCGTTGGCTTTTTTTAGTTACGATTCCTAAACCTTATCCTACTGTAAATAATATGTACAAAGTATCGTAAATAAAATGTTTTTGTACATAAAGAAGCAATAACTAATTTATTTGATATTTTACGAGTTTTTTTTATTTGTTTATGGATGTCAATTTTTATGGTGCCGTTCGTATCGGTAAGCTTTTCCTGCTACAAGTTGTTTACGCGAGCTTTTTTGCTAAGAAAACACAGGTGAAGTATTTTGTCAATCATTACGCTGCGGAGTGCGCGGGTCGGCGCGGGCGAAGCGGCCGCAATCTGCGGCAGTCTACTACGGGCGCTACGCCGATTGCTACGCTCTAGCTACACTACGTTGACACAAACTCGCTACGACAGTCGTGTTCGTAGCAACACCGTAGCGAAACAATACGCGCGGGCGCAATCGAGTTAAAAGTGTTATAAAAGTTATTTTGAACATTTCAAATGTAAATACAAAAATTGTGTAGTGTAAATTTAATGAAACAAAAAAAACAATTTAAATTATATAAATAAATAATTATACTGAATATTAATGTAAATAATATTAAACTGCTATGCTTAAAAATGTAAAGTAGAAAATAAAATTCATAAAACAATGGTAACATTTTTAGAGTAACATAACAAAATTTCCCAATGAATTAAATGCTTATGACAATTATTTAATAAAGATTTTAAAATACCTTATAAAGCAGTCTTAGACTAGTACTCTATAGTTTAAGAGAAGTTTGCGACCGACCATTTAAAAGTTTAAATCCAAAGTTTGTCGAGAACATTTTGTTGACATTTTGGTTTGTAATTCTAAAATAGATTTGTAGCTGGTATTATTTTATTTAAAAAAAAGAACAATTAGTTATAACTAAATTATCTTTCTTATGTACATTCTTTTAAATACTTAACAAAATTACTCGTGTGTAAGTTTTACTAAGCTTTTTTTTATTTTAATTAACCCTAGTTAATAAGTAAGTACATAATGAAAGTCAGTGGTAACCAAAGAAATCATTAAATATTGACATACTCGTACATCAAATACAATATTTAAATAACATACTCCTCAAATATCCTTTCAAAACCAAACATCAAAGCATTGAAACAAATTAACAACCTTATGTGTACCCAATTTGAACTGCCGACGTGATGGAAAATCGAGACCTTACCCTGTATCACGTTACAAAGAAACAAACTCACACATTATTTAAAATAGCGTATATTTTACGTAGCGTTTTAATAACAAACTTTTTAATAAGTTAGTATAGTAACTTATAGGTACTTACACATGTAAGTGACATAAATGTTATCTTTAAAAAAAAACGAAATTTAATTCTTTACCAACACTCAAATGTATAGGCCTCGTTTAAACTTCAAATATCTTTTAAATTTTACCATTTGCCAGATTTTAAGCGGCGTTTACGGAGCAGTGTTAAAGATTTGTTTTATTATCGAATCGATAGTCATTTTTTTGTTATAATTCCACACAGACGAAGTTACCGGCAACTGCTAGTAGTTATCTATCATAAAAATAAAGACTTTATTCAAAATAATTCATAGGAATATAAACAGGAAGCTTCAACTACAAGATTTATAGCTCTAGGTGAGAAAACAGAATGCATAAGATATCCGAACAGAACATCAGCTTACCGTAGTCGTTACATTCCGCCTTAATCCTCGAGGGAACAAACTCGTCTACATCTTGTTTCCTTGTATGAATAAATGCAAATATCTTTGAGGGATCAGTTGGAACGTATGCTAGTTTTACTCGTACTTACATACATTTATATATATATATAAGTATATATATATGTATACTTTTTAACATGTTATACATTCATATATTGCGAAACAATTAAACTCTTTAAAAGCCATTTTCTATATATAGAGTACAGATAATCGGCTGTTGCTTTTTTTCGCCAACATATTATGTCCAAAAATTATTATCATGTAGGTAAATATAAAGTGTCAATCTAATAGATCTGACGCAATATTAAAAAAATACTATCGCAAAAAAATAGAGGTATAAAATTTTTTTACATAACTAAGGTTAGTTATGAAACTGTTTAAAATATAATTTTTACACTAGAAAAGTTATATACTGTTTTCTTCACATCAGCCTTAAATTACACATCGAGGAAACAAGTCTTCGTCGTAGCAAAGTATAAGTTTCTTTTTTCGGGAATACAACACACTACAAGTATTTCCTTTCATGGGAATGTGACATTGTGCGAGACCCTTCAGATTTTCTCGTAATGTGTACGCCATTTTTGCTCACAATCTCCTACCCTAAGTAAACATACAGTTCACACTTAATGGACTTGAAATACGAATCTTCCTCTATTCATAAAATGTATGGTCAAGAAAATAATGGACATGTAATTGTGAAAAATAAGCTATTAGCAAAATAATAGTAAATTATAAGAGATCATTGAAGACGATTACCAAGATCCATCTTTCAAGTATACATATTTCTTATTTCTAGATATTAGTTATACGAAAAAGTACAAAATATAGCTTGTTTTCCACTTAGATGGACCGTCATCAAACCGAACCTGACGTTTGCTTACCTTTCCCTTTAAGAAATAGATTTTCAATCACACAATAATTGAAATATGAAAATTACATTTTCGATATTCCCAAGCATTACATAATATGTACTAGTATATAAAATTTAGTTCCTTAAAAAATTACACGATTAAAAATTTGTTCAAAACTTTTATTCACCTATAAAATTTAGTATGAAAAATGTTTCCTTACAGTTAATAATTAAAAGTCCTTACTAAAGTATTTGTGAACTAAATAATAATTCAATTATGGAAGAACTATCGACAAACATTATTTTCGAAGAATATAAGACGTGATGTCAACGACAGCGTAACGTAATGGCGGGGACGATACGACATCTATCTTCATACCATCATGAACATCCGTCACACGAACCGACAGCAAATTCGGTAAGTAAACAAACGTGTATACTACTTTTCTTCAAGGGTGTTACGTTAACAAAAACTCTTATAAAACCTAGTCACTTATGATTGATTTGAGAAAATAAAAAATCGTAGATCCATACTAATGCTATAAAGAGTAAAGATTTGTGTTTTTGGTTTTTGTATGTTTTGTAATAACTTAAAAACTACTAAGCCGATTTCAAAAATTCTTTCAGCTTTAAAACGCTACGTTATCGCCAAGTATTATAGGCTAGTGAAAAAATACAGTGTTTCTAAAAATCATTAAATACTACATGAAGCTTACATATGCGTATATAGGAAAGTTCCAATAAAACAAAGAGAGTTCCTACTTTATTTACGTTAGCAGCAATTAATCTATTATCTTAGGCCTCGTACGCTCCGGGGCTTCATTAAAACTGACCTTTACTACGTACACCTATTCACTGCCTGTCTAATAGAATGCTTAATGAGAGCATTACTCGTCGCCGCGCCGTCGTGTTACGAGAAAGAAATGTCAGTCTTATTAATATAATAGTTACGAACACTTTTAACTATGTACAATTGTAATAAAGCTCAATATTGAAAACCTAGAGTGTTTATGGTGGGTTGCTGAATTTTCTATCTATTTCATAATAATATAATAATATTTATTTATTACAGATAAAGATCCAATATTATTTTAGTATCTACATTTTACTTAAACTAAGTTAGTATATTATTTATAAATTTGATAAAAGTATAATTTAATTAGTGCACTTTATGATTACCTAGTGATTTATTAGTGTTAAATTGTAAGTTTAAACTTAAGTTACGTTTAAAAAAGCATTTCATGAAGTTATCAAACTAAAAAAGAAACCGACAATTAATAAGTTGAAAAGATTAAAAATAATTGGATATTAATTAGCACTAACTATAAATTAAGGAAAGTATGTTAATGATAATTTAAAAAGAAAAGGTTAAATTTTGTAATATTTTAAAGTTAAATAACATAAAAATTACGTTTCACGCATTTCACAAAATTCTGTTCAACCCTAATAGCACCTATAATGAAAAGTTTTGACAAATGACATCCATCCAAAAACAATAAAAAAAAACTTTTTACATTTCGTACCCTATTTTATATGACAGTGAAATAAGTAATAAAATAAAAGTGTTGCTTTTATTAAAACTACAGCAAAGTTTATGAATAAATTATGAATTTTATTCAAATGTGTGAAAATAACATTGACCTGAAATAAAATGTACACACGCGTTGGCATAAATTCAAATTTCGGTGGCAACATTTCCCTAGTTTTGTAAATTTATTCGAAAAAAAGCGAACTTTTCTACTTCAGCGCTTTGTAAGCGACTGTTAATTTATACTGAACTTTGGTTTCGGGAATTATAATTAATTCGAATAAAAAGCCGTTTCAAGTATTCAACTTGTGTAAGTTATTATCATATCGTGTTTAAGCTCATATATATTTTATTTACTTTAACTTTACTTATATTCTACTTAATTCGATTTCTTTATTATAATTTGAGTTTGTGCTACAGAGTAAAATAAAGCCTTCGACTATAGAACTAATTAGAGAAACAAAGTTTACGTTGCGTGTCAAAAATAGCTGTTTAGTGAAACACTGAATTGTAACTCAATTTTAAACAAATAGCTTTGACCTACATTTAAATATCTTGGTTATTAACTTTTATCACATTGTTGTTGCTGGAAAAAATCATTTTCGTATTTTTTTAAAAATTATAGTTACTGAATAAAAGTATTTTTAATAAACACTGTTTTTATTAGAAATATCTAAATACATTCAATTAAATGCTATTGAACTTTTCCTTCATCCTTAAGTCAAAATAGAATATACGTAGACTAAACTGTTCGTTTAAAAGCCTATTTCCTCTTCGCAGTACCGTCGAGGAAATTTAGTATTTAGCAGATCGAATGAATACATGTAAACGTGCAAATAAATAGTCACATTTTGTGTATATTTCTACATAACCAACAGTTTAACAAATAATTTACATCTGCATTAGAATTCACATATAAAATCATCGTTTTAATTTTAATCCTGAAACATTTATGAAGAACATTCAATAAAAACTACGTATTATTTCTGCTTACACGTTCTCGCGCTTTGTATTTTTTTCCCTTACTTTCGTGACCTGATTCTACAATAGTCGGTTTCCTCATATTGCTTGTCGTAATTACGTTCTTAAGGGTTAAGTCGCTTGTATCAAACCGCTCACAATGTAATCTGTTGTACAAAGTACGATCGCTACATTAAAAGAACTAAAGTGTGGTTCTTTTTGTCATGGCTATAAAAGTTTCAATAAGTGACGTAAAGATTTAAATTGTGACTCTATCTTGTAACTTTACCACTAAGTGGCAGCCCTACTGCGTGTAACTTTTATTATTGTCTACAGTTGATAACAGAGATCAACGTGCAACTGGCGCTGTTCCGCGACCTGCTTATCCACATCGGCCAGCCGCCCGACTGCCCCGAGCTGCGCGAGCGCGTGCGCCGACTGCGCCGCGCCTGCGTCGAGGCAACTAAGCAAACCAGTCAGCTCGTCTTACCTACGTGTAAAAAGTACGTATTAAATCTTTAATAGTAATACATAGAAACTGAATGCAGATTCGCTTACACGGGCAGTGTGAAGTATAACAAGTAACAACCATTATTTACCTTATTAGTTACCTTATTAAGGGAGTCCCCTTAATTAAGTGTAATAAAAATGTTAATTTCTCGTGCACTTTATCCGTTATTCCTGAGATATAAACAGCATGTGTTTAGTACATGGAGAAATTAAAAAAAAAATGTCATCCATCTTATTGTACGTAAATTATGGTGAACAAATAGTGTTTAAAGTCTCATACTATTTGTCTACTTTATTATCTTTTTAAAACATCATGCTCTAATTAATTTATGTGTCCAATTAAATGTAAATTTATTACTATCACGGGTACAATAATATAGAAATATGTTTACCTTATAATAAATCGATACTCGCCTGTGGCCACCTGATACGTGTGTAGGATTAGATTAACGTTCACAAACAACTACATAAATTACACACTACATTAAATTCAAACCAGAGTTCAACATAAAATATATGTAGTTTAATATTTAACGCAATCTATATTATCGCATTAGTTTTGAAATAATTTAAAGCTTAGTTTATAATAATAAATAATACATTAAATTTTAAGTTTACAAGAATATTGGCATCTCAATAAGGTGATTCTAATCGATAACCATTCCGTACATCTGTCCCCGATGAATAATCAGGGCGCAGATGAAAAGGGTATGAAGGATGACTGGTGAGGGGTTAATATACGGCTAGAGAATATAGAATAGCCGTTAATGGCTGTTCCTTCAATGATATGACGATAATACAACATTCTTACATCTCATTTCTCATGAAGCTTTCAACGAAATAACAACCCAATGTTAAGAAAGTACGTAAGAATATTAAAAAGTTACATCAGCTTATCAGCCTTTAAAACCTACGAAGTTTCGAGTTTAACTTCACAGTCTGATTGTTTAGTTAAAATTGATAACAAACAGCGGGCTTAACGGTCTACCTAAAGGTTGAAAAAGTTATAACTTGAAGGCTAAGTGTTAGTGTCTGAAAAACTGGTATTCAATGACGCGCACAACACATTTCTTTGTCGAGACAGGAATTTAATGGTGGGACAACATTGATAATAGCTAAACTAATATTATTATCGATAGAGGGTATTGCGATTGTTGTATAAAGTTTCAACAGAAAATGTAATCATAAAATCCTATAATCCTTATCCCTTTGTCCTCAGTATAAGGTCAAACGCGAACAGAATCGTCTAGCTGGGCTTAGTATCCTATTAATTATTCAAAATAGGCGACTATAATCCCTATATAAAAGAAAACGACTGAATTAAAATAGCAGGGGATTTATCTCGTACATTAAATAAAGACCTCATCATAGAATATCCCTGGCCGCGATCTGAAGTGGTATTTACGGGAATTGGATAGGGGCGGGAGATAAATTAAATTGTTTTAAAATTTCGTGCATCAAATTAATTTAAAATAATTTATTCCAAAAGTTAATTTCTACGGAACATTAGCAAAAAAATCTCATTTAGTAAAGTTACGATAACCTTATGCATTAATGCTAATTGAAATTATTATAAAAATAAACATCCTATATTACAAAAAGTGATAAAACTTATTTTTAATCTATGTAAACAAGTGAAGCTGAGCTAATTGACTACTAATAGCTAGTCCTAATAGATCCGATTACCAATTAAGGGTCGCGCGAATGCCACTTGTATTGAGTTGCTATTTCTACTAATCCACAACTGTTGTACAAAATTACGTGCCCAATCTCTAAATGGAAAATTTTTCTAAGGTTTTCTTTTGTACAGGACTACAAGCGAGGGATGTGTAGAGCAACCACAGCTGGTGTTATTGTACTTCATGTCGCAATTGCTGCTGCGAGAGCTCGCTAAGTGCCACCGGCTTGTGCAGCTCGTGCCAATGGATATGACGTCATATTACGGTAACTATTTCAATAAACAATGTAACATCAATCTATTTAAGATACTGTATTCTTTCAATCGTTGGTTTTAATTAGAAGTTTATGGTATATTAGCCTGTAGTAAAATGTATCAGAGAATTTTAATCACAGTCTAATGATGATGAAAACATCAGTAAGTATAAAAGAAAAAATGTGTAACCTTACAGTATTTAATCAAAAAAATAGATTAGTTCACTATTTATATTTACTCAACTATTTATTTACTCTGAACAGAGAATCGTGCCGGCCCATCGAACTTCGGTAACGTGATAAGTCAAATACTCCTGTGCAAACAAATCACTCCAGACTTCAATCAGGAAGAACTTTGCAGTATCGCTAAAGACACACAAGATATTAACAGGATAGTGAACGATATTCAAGAATACCTGCCTCAACAAGAAAACCTCAACCATTTAGGTATGTTGTGTGAATTTTCCTTTCCGTCTCACGTAAGCATTTACATAAAAAGATTTGGTATTTCGCGCCACATTAGAATTTAATGTTACCGCTGAATTTTCGTACATTTTACTTTTACAAAAGAGGAACAAAGAGAAAATATAACAGGAGAGAAATCAAACCTATATCAAAAAGTAATATCGGAACGTGTATACTATTTTTTACATTGGGATTGAAAATATCAAAGCAATACAAAGACTTAAAACAGTCGATAGACTATTCAAGGCGGTTGGCTTACTGCTTGTATTTTTAACGGGGTCTGCAGACTTCGGTGCGTGTATGGATTGTTAAGTTGTCGGTAAAGACTGACGCAATCCGTTTATGACAACTTTGTTTATATTTATGTTTTACTACCTTAAGGATAAAAAGCTAAAATATGTACTTAAAAATGTAATGTTGATACCATAATGTTTTTAAAAAGTTATTTAATTAATCTCGTGTCGTATAGGCATCAGTGACAAGGGTTCACCCCCATCACACTTAGAAAGTAATAACACTGAAAGGAACATATAACCATTCCTATATTTAACATGTTTGTGTACCTTGCTCGGTATAAATGGACTCTAAAACTTATGTTTGTATCTTAGTATACATGTATTTTTAGATCTAGCAATATTAAAATTACTAACATGTTCTTTGAATAACAAACGCTAATATTACTTAAGTATATTTTTATTTACGAAGTACTAGCTTGTGCCGGCGTCTCCGTCAGCGTGGAATTAAAAGTACGTAGCCTATGTATTCTTCCAGATTAACCTCTACATCTATGACAAATTTCATCAAGATCCGTTCAGCCTTTTAGTCTGCGAACTGTAACATCCATCCATCCAAACTTTTGCATTTATAATATTAAGTAAGATTTACAGTTTTCGTGTTACTAGTTTTGTAACTATTATATCAATTTACAGAAACAAATGTAGCGCTCAAAGGTGACGACGTGAACGGCTTATGGAAGAATAAGCGACGAGGATCGCTTTACAAAGGAATGGGAGTTCTGTGCTGTATGTCCCGACCGAATTATCTTTGAGGGTGACAAATATCACCCACTGAACACCAAATATACGAATAAGGACGACAGAGCGCTCAAGTGTGATGTGCTATACTAAAGAATGAAATGTATATTATGAAAAGTGTTCATAAACTATAAAAGATTAGAAAGTGTTAGATGAGTGTAGTTAAAGTGTAGACAAAACGGGGTCCAGTAGAGTGTCTAATAAACCACTCATTGAAGGTCAAATTCAAACGTTTAGCCAAATTCAAACGGTCAAAAATAACTAATTCGTTATTTAAAATCACAATAAAAGTACTTGCATAGTTTTTTGTAATAAACAACTATTACTAATTAATATAGTTTTTAAGGTTTGTATTTGTAAATTGATTTTAAATTATCAAAAGATAGCCTGGAATGGGATCAATTGCTTTTAAGTAGTATGTAATTTGATGTTTTAACATTTTTTGCACGTCATAAACTAGAATCTAGAGTGGTGATATACTGAGAACTGAAAAAGATCTTAAAGAATACGAAAAGCTTCTCGGAAAACGAATAAAAACGAACTGATTGAATGAAAGTGCATTGTCGAGGCATATTACAGAGAAAGCGTATACCGAGTTAGACAATCTTATTTTTCTTGCCAATAAAATTAGATTTTTTTACTTAAATTATTTTTATCTGTAAATCAAACTTTATAATACTATCTCGTCTTCCAATAAATCAACATTTCTGTATATTCCAATAAGCCAATTTAGCTTCAACTAACACTTGATTAAAAAATAATGTATCATCACATTTTCACAATTATCATTAGATTCGTAGATATTTGTATGTAATCATTCCATATTTATATTAGATTTGCCCAATTATGGGCTATACGATGGCCTAGACAGTATCGTATTAGCTTGCATACTCTAGTCAATTAATGTAATACCCATTAGAAATTTAAGACTTATGCGTATAAATTTAGATGAAATAAATATTTATCTCGTAATGACATAATATTCGATTAAATCGACTGAGTTATGTTTTGTTATTTCAAGTTAAACAGATATTTATTAATTAGGTTTATTTCTTTGTTGACTTTAATAATAACCTTAAAATGTACCCAAAGATGGTTATGTTTATTTGATAAATAAGTTGATTGATTAATATTGTTTATAAGTAATTAATTTTCACATAATAATGAAGACATTTAAATACTCTTTATATAAGTTTAGATTCCACTCATATTAGAGACACCAATAAAGCATTTAATGCACCGATCACCTAGTCAAATTAAGATACGCTCTTATTACATAGCATAAGAATATGTAGAAACGCATTTGTATTATTAATTAGTACATAGATAATATAACTTATTACCTAATCGATTTATTACAAATATATAATAGAAATGCGGGTACATACTTATACATATATTTAATAATATATAACGCACTTACTAAAGTGATGACTGTGATATAATCGTAAATAAAATTCTAGCGAAATATGCATTTAGTAAAACATATTTAAAATTCAAATTCGTTTTATTTACTCTAACGTAAATTAAGAAACCCTTCTCGCATTGCTATCAAAGGTATCCTTAATTGTTGTGTTTCGAATAATCATCAATACGGAAGAACACATTTACAAGATATTTTCTAGGTCCTGCAAAGTCAAATCTTCGTCTATCACGTGCGTATATTTTTTATTACCAGTTCGTGTCTACCGATGGCCGTAAATTTCAATATTTGCGCGGTAAGAACATGAATATACACCAGTTACTATGTATTACCTAAAGATAACTATAATTAAAACATTATTAAGATTTTCTGATAATTTCGCTGTTAACATTGAAATTTTCACTATTTTAAAAGAAATAGAAGTAAATTAGTTGATTTTTACTTCATAAATTGTGGCCTGTTTGCTGTTTGTCGGAATAGAAATAATCTTTTGTAAAGTATGAAACGTTTCCAGCAATATTTCAACGTCAAACTGCAAGAATTATGACGTCTATGCTGCTGTTATTGTTATTGAATTGAATCGAAATTATTACAACGATTATTACTAAGTTTTTCTTTAAATTGTTCCATTGAAGATAAAAATTAAGCATTGAAAGAGACGATCTCGTACGAGAAGGTACGCGCGAGTAAAATAAATAAGAAATAAACCTAAAACAACTTTTAATAAAATGTACAAAATTAAACAAATATATACATTTCAGCCTAGCGTTGTGTGTGACATCTGATCGAACAATACTTCAAATATTTACAAAAAAAATTTATAAAAAAATAAACATTCTTATTTTAAAAAAAAAGGATTAAAAATAAAAATACAAAAAGGATTATTGCATCGCCAACAAGCATGTTTTACTCTAATTCTTTACGTGCAATTAAATTATTTAAACTCTCGTGATTTAATATCATAAACAAATTAAAAACGTTTTTAATTCGTTTATGTAAAGTGTACTAAAATTTAAAGTTTATTAAGTAATTGTTAACCTTAATATAAACAAACAGTAATTACAAATGAAGTATGCAGAACCGAGTTAGATAGAGAAGAATGAATTTAAAAAATAGATAAACAAAATTGTTGTTTCCATTTCAATAAAGAAACGGAAATATAATTTATTTCTCGTATAAATGCAATACTAACTTATCATGCAGAAAGGGAATCGAGATGGCAAAACTTGTTGACGCTTTGCATTAACGTAAAAAGAAATCTCATTGAACTGCGTTAGAATTGCGTTTCCTTGCGAGAATTCTAAAAGTATATTTAAATGGAACTGTCCTATTTACATGCATATATCTAGAAGAGTAGGATATTATAGATTTTACAATAATTAAGAAAACCATAATAAGCATTTACGCTTGTTACCGAGGGACATTTGAAAAGATTAATTTTAATTAAGAAACTAACACACGTCGATTAATGAAAAAATGTACATACATACAGTATGTATATACGTACAGTATGAAACTTTCTGGCAGAGACAGGCATATACAAATAAGAGACAAATGAAAACTTTCTTAAAAAGGAATCTATTTTCAACTAAGTGTATATCATTCCAAGGCTGACATCTTTTTTTAAATCAACAAATTATTAAATCAAGGGCTTAATTTTATACCAAGATCTTTAGATAGATAGATGTAATGTCGTGTTTCAAACACTTTTATAATTCTAATACTCAAATTGATGTAACAATTTTCATTTTACAGAATGAAACAATAAATTCTGGCAACATTTTCTAAGAATATTACACTTAAGTCTACTATTGCAAAGTTTATGATCCTTACGATGCTCGAGCGGTGAAACATAACATAGGTAATGGCTTAATTGCTGTTAACGTAACTTAAGAATTACGACCTTCATTCTATGCTAAGAATTTGAAATAAGGTTATATTTCTGTAAGGGTTGTTTCAATATTATCTTTTATGTTTCTAGGTGTGTAATAAAATTATTTAAGGAAATAAAATCACAACACAGAAGTAAATATAAAAATATACTGTTTTTCAGTTTTCCTTTGGGTGTTACTGTCAACGCAAATTGTTAATATCGGTAGTTAACGATGTGTCTATGTTGCAGCACGTTTGTTCTATTATTTCGGATATAAGTTAACACAATCCTGCCATATTCGGTTATTGAAAAACCAATATGGCTACAATGTACTACCAATTTTGGGCGCTTAATGTATATTGCGACATGTTGCGGGTAACAATACTTGTTAGAGTACGGGATAACATCCTATAATATTGGTGCTTCCTTAATTTCTTCTTTTGTTTAATTACACATCGACAAAGTAATGTAACATTGAGTGTCACATTTTTTTCCTGTTTGTTATTGGCTTTCTTTTGTTTTTTCTTATTTTTTATTGTAACAGATATAACGGCTGCAAGAACATACTTTGTTTTGGATTATGTAAACAAGTTACACAAAAATTTCAATTATCTTCGATGGAATAATCGACGCGTCTATAATATTAACAAAATAATCTCCAAGTTATTTCTACTAGTAAAAATACATATATTCATTAAGGTAACGATATAGTTTTAAAATCAAACATCAAACTTCACTACTACTCTACGAATCCTTTAATGTTAGGGTATTATTCACCTGTAAAATATTAAAACTAAATATTTCCACTGAAAGGCAACGCAACGAACCAACTAAATACCAACTGTTTGTAACATTAAAATACTTTTGGTTGCCAGTTGCCAGTATATTTTGGCTTTTGTTGATCCATGAGGCTTTCACAAAACTTTTCGTTGCAGCATTCCGAATGCTCGGCTTTTCTATCCGGTCCAAAGAGTTAATTACGAGTTCAAAATGCAAATAATACGAAATATAAAGAAAGAATTGTTTTTTGAAACCCAATAGAACTTTTGATCATTCCTAGATTTAAGCGTTTCTAAAATCTTAATAAAACACGAATTAAAAACACATTCAGTAATCTATTTTTTTAATTGCCATGTCCCGGCTCAAACTAGTCGGTTTATAGTCTATAGTCCATAAATCATTCACTCGTTGAATAGATGTGAGTATTCATAAAAGAAATATGATCTAACCGCGGCAACGGTTCAATTCTATTGAATTTACTCAAGCTATGTATGCATGTGTACAAAAATGAATCACGTTCCCGTTTTGCTAGCATACCCGTTGATTCCAACAAGCAAATGGAAAAATCCACTACCTATTTTATTTGTTTTAAAACCGACAATCATTTTATATTTTGATTGAACGATATTTGAAATAGTTATAGAACATTCAAAAATGTCACTGGCAACCGTAAATTCTAAAAGAATGAATATTTCAAAGACAATAAGAATTACGATGAAGCGTTATGAGTCTGTTTTATAGACAATGCAATTTTTTCATTCAATGTCAATCCAAGATGGCCGGCATTACGAAATGGCAGCCAACGCGTGTACATCATCTCCTAAATAAAAAATATATTTTTAAAAATCAAGTGTTAAAAAGTAATAAAAATGGGTTCTATTATATTATTTTTATTCACTTTCGTATACGTGTCGTTTTTTTCCCATTGAAGGTGCAAA